TATCAACACCCTCAGCGGGATTCGAACCGCGACAGTGCAGGACGCTAGCTTGACACGCTAACCACTCGGCCTGACCCTCCTTGAAACTCACTTATGCCCTGTAACTCAAGGGTACTCGTGGCAGTGTAGCAAACATTATCTTGAAATTAATGCTGAATCCGGTCAACAGCTTTTACTATGTTTCAACCAGGAAAGTATTTCATGAAAAGTGAAAAAACTCCGTTTGTCTTAAGATTAGCTCTAACAAAGAGAGCTATGATCTGACTTTGGTGACCCTCAAGCGTTCGCCCCCGGCTCATTCATGATTGCATGAGGGGATAATGTTTCTTTGCACAAAATTGCAAACAATGCGATTACGATAGTACAACGTATGTGACAATGCCAGAAATGCGGGAACCTGTTAAGAGGTCAGGATGTAACAAGACCTCAAAGAAAGACTAAGATGTATTAATGAAATATATGAATGAAATCTTGAAGGTTCATCAAAATTGCTCCGCAACCGACCACTTAAGCTGGTCATTACTTAATCTATTACGTAATCTTGCTTGCAAAAAGGCTTCGGATAGTCTATCCTAGGCTGATACTGCTACACAAAAATGCATTATTAGCATGTGAAAACCATGTGAAACAGCAAGACACTGCGAAAAAGGGACACGCAATTTTAGTTGCTATGCTCTTTTACCTCTGAAGTTGGCGGCCGGTCCTTTTGATCGGAGTGCAAATGTCTTGTCTGTCGTGGGCTGAAGGACGAGTGGGTTGCCGAAAGTGAGAGTGGGGCTCGACGCGGCGATGACGAAATGGGCAGAAAAGAGTGGGACAATGAAGGTTCAAGGGGAGTGGCAGTGCTGAATTGATGATTTTCCGAGTTCGAATCGGTGCAACTTGTGGGATGGATTAACTCTTCTGCTATTCCTGTTTGTTTGGCCCACCAGGTTTCAAAGCCACGCACGAGATCCATTTTAGCTGTCTCCAGGCAGTGTTGAGCATGTTCTATACGAGGTCGAAGAGCTCGAAGCTCTACAAAAGCAGTTCTGTAAAGGTCGCGCTGTTGTACAATCGACTCTCGCAGATCGGAGACACGCTGTTCTTCCGTGTTGGTGGCTGAAACCACGTAAGGACCTGCGTTTTCGTAGGCCGTTTGCTCAGAGTTTCGTCCAGTCACTTCATCGATGGAAGGCTTCTCTTGAGCAGAGGTCAAACTTGTGTCAACAGGCAGCAATGATGAATTCTCCAAGAGTCGGTTGAGTTCCGCTTTCAGGAGGCCTGAGAAACAAAAATAAAATTGTGTGCATTAGAAAACAAATACACGATTTTAGCCAACCGTCGGCTACATCGTTGCCGAGTCAATGTTTATTTGATGCGAAAACGAGTGATCAAGCAACTCGTATGTTGATCTAATCGGAAGCCGATTGCAAATTATCCCTAACTTGCTAAACTATACTTTTAATGGGACATTCAGGCTGATACGGTCCTCGGAACGGTCTTCTTCGATACTGGTAAAAAAGTGATCATAGTAGGCTTCGGAGCTATCAGCAAATGTTGAATACGAGTTCTGGCAACCGCTGAAAT